GGGGGGACGGGGGCGGGGGGGGGGCTCTTTTGACCCCCCCTAAGAACTCGCGAACGGTAAGTCGTATGACCACCAAATTTTTAGAGAATGGTGTACTAGTAAAAATTTATCATATGTACAATTTTTATGTCGTTATGACGTAATATGACGTCATTATGACGTCATTAATGTTATTTTTTTTGGCCAAAACCGTCTAAATAGGTTTTTCCCTGAAAACTAAATAGTATTCAACATTACTGTACCAAAAGTGTTTATGACAGAATAGTATGGTGTACGAAGTCTTATGTTGCCCATAGCAACACCGGTGACGTCATAAAATGACGTCATGCATAAGATATCCGCCATCTTGGATCATCAATCTTGAATTTTCAAAAATAGTTTTTTTTTTTCATGATAAAGCCTAAAATACATTGTAAACATACTAAAGACCTTCATTCAAACCTTTTTTTGGAAAAAGAAATGGAAGTATTGATGAACTTTTAATGAAAATAACCTGTATATACCTGTTCTAATGATATGGTCCGCCATCTTGGATTTTGGCCAATGACGTCATCAAATTAGCATAAATTATGCATATTTAATGATAAAATTTACATAAAATTATATGGGATGTTATTAATATAAGAAACCATGAGTAACTTGACATAAAACTCATAAAATTCTATTGTTGAAACAAAAAGTACTAAATTTAGCAAAAAAATGCCTGTCAGAAACCCGTTGCCATGGCAACAAAAAAATTTATTATCTTATACCGATGAGAGAGAATTGTTGCCAACAATATTCTAGGAAAAGTCACCAAGTTTAACCGTTCTACGGCTAGCCGTTCAGATGCTAGGTGACATCAAAGTTGCCGCGGGCACTTTTAGCCCCCCCCCCCACCGGTCTAGGTAGGGTTAAGTGAAGGAGAACATCAATAAACATTTATTCAAATTTAATTTAATTTAATTTATTCAAATCATGACCTCATCTGCATAATTTATGAGGAAGTGCTAAAATAGCCTTTTTGTTAAGATAAGACTGTCATTGGTTGGAGAATATGATCAACTGATATAATCCATGCAAATGAGGCTCTTATTTGCAAAATCAATGATTAAAATTGTATAATTTGTCAACCGCAAGGTTTGACGAAGGTATGAGATCGTGGAACTCTAGTTTGAATTCGATAACATAAAATAGTGAATAATAAACAAAATCATTTATGGTGAACATAATTTTGAGACGTTTGATGTCGCTATTCCATTTTACCGCATATTTGGAACAACATTGTACATCACTAAGACCAGTCGGGACAGTTTCTTGTGCTCTTCGTGGCCTTCGTTTTCGGAATAATTTGGCTCGTAAAATTTCTGTTAACTTGCAAGAAGACCAACTGCGTACAGTACGCTCAAGAAACCTGCCTGGAACTCTCGACATGGCTTGGTGGTTGGGTACGAAATGCGAAGTGAGAAGATAGCTCTCTGACGACGGTTCGGGAATGCGACTGAACTAACTGTAAAGAGCGATGGCTTGTTCCCGCCGGCCTTTCCGTGAATTGCTTTTACCATGATCAGAAGTAACAACTTATGATCCGTATCGCGCAGAGTACATTCCTTTTTCAACTAAAACACCGTGTTTGCTTAGACCGAGTACAGCGATGTTAACTTGGCGGCATGTCGCCTAATAGTATGTTTTAACTGCTTCACACTGCACAGCACAGGTGCCTGTGGTTATAGATGCGTTCCCAAAGGCAAAGTATTCACATGTCTACACAGTAACATATTTAAAATACGGTTCTAGTGTACGTTATAAAATCACATGCGACTTTTACGACCTTATTTTTATTTTTAAACTTTCATCTGAATATTTAGGAATCATGCGATAATAATAAGTAGGCCCCCAAATGATTTGAATTGGGTTAACTTTCTTCAGACCGGGTTATTTTGGTCATCCTGGTGATTCTGTACTACTAAAATTTCAACGGGTTAAGTCATTAAAAAAGCCACTTTGAACATGATGATCAATGATACCTGTTTACGCATGTATACCGTAAATCAGAAGTTCTACCCCAACGTCGATACTTTTATACTTTTTTTATTACCTCCACAAGTTGGTGTAGCACCACTCCAAGTCGCGTTCGGCTGGCAGGTCATATTGGCAGTCCCCCTCAGCTGATACCCGTCCATACAGGTGTACCTGACTGTCTGTCCTGATGTAAAGTTACTGTTGTTATCCCTGTTCCCATTGGTCGGCACACCAGGATCCCTACATTGTCCTGCAGTGCTGCCTGAAACAAAACAATGTAAAGGTATGGATTTCCTTCCTTTTCCATCTATTTGCATTATTGTTATCTGTTAATGTTCAACTCTTCATATATTACATATATTGCAACTATAAAAGTCCCATTGTGTACAACAATGCATTTTTTTAAAGTTTACTTATTAATCATGCAAATCAAGGCCCCATTTGGATAGTTTGCATTCCATTGTGTACATCTCTGTTTTAGCTACATTCATGACAAAAGTCATGAAAATTCTTCGTTCCTTTCTTCATTCATCCGCTTGAAAATTTTTCGCCCCTGTAGTTCCAGAACAAGATGCTAGTTAGGCCAAACCCACACCACTTGCAATTGTTATTGACATGAAAAGCTATCAGTCACCGAAAAATCAAGACCATAGAAGGTTCAGGACCAAAAAAAAATGCAAAAAAGGAAGTTCTGCTGCAGTACCAAGGTCAGTTAGTAGGAGTCCCAAACCCTATCTTGAAAATCTAAAAAAAATCAAGATTTATGATCCAAGATGGTGGATAGCTTAAATGTGATTTTTGCACAAGGCTAAGATACGCTGGAATGGGATACTGAAAGTCTACCACGTCTGCGGCAGGCGGGTCCAGCACGAGTGTATAGTACCTGTCTGAGTGTGTGTTTACGCGCGGGCTGTCGGATTCTGAACCCGATGTGGCTTTTCCAATTGCAGCATTGGGGACGGTCAGGGTCACTCATGACATAACTGGAAACCTTTAAGCCGGACAATTGCGTATCGACCTAGGACACACAGTAACTTGAGCATCATAGTGTATTTTTTTCAAAACAACACACACGGCGGTCTGTCACTACGGCATTATTTCCCATTGCTGGGGGCGTTCGATAAAGTATCGGGTTACAATACGTTAAACATTTGAAAATAAACAAACTAGTATCGAAGGGAAAATTTCGTTGAAATAAAATAAAATTATCGTCTTTACATACATTTAATGGTGATTTTTTTGCGCTAAATTGATGATTTTTTCGGATTTCGTTAAAAAAAGTCGATAATTTATGGAGTTTCGGTGCGCCATATTTTAGCCAATCACCGAGCAAACCTGGCTACACATATTACGCAAGGTCACTGATTTTTATATTTTTCGACGACCAGGAATAAGATGTTCTTTGTTGTCAAAGAACATGAAGGAGACACAGTCAGGGTGACTCCTGCAGCGGTCTGCACAGTCTTATAGGGTCATCCCGTCCCCATAGATGTACCAGATGTCGTTCCCAGGACAGTCTCCGGCACGAACAGAATAACCATCGATGGAAGGCAGTTGAAGTTCTTTAAGAAAAACATCATATTTTCAGAGGGTGGCTCTTTCCTGTGATATGAACTGTTCAGTGAACGAGCTTTTCTGGGAAACATGATTTTTTCTAAACCTTCCATGATCCAATAGGTCAAAAGCCAAAGCCTTTCTTGAATTAGATGTGTTTGTAAACCGTCTGATGCTTGTGTTAGTAAATGCTTTTGTGTTCATTCAGTATATAATACTAAAATATATATTGTTGCGCATCAGTTTTGATAGTATGTTCATTAATTTTCATATCTGATGTTGTATTCATAAATGTACTTAATACACAGTTTGTTCATGTTCTAATATATTGATTCTATGTTTGATAAATATGGTGAGTTGTAGTACATATAGTATATATAGTATCGTATTAGAAAATGCTCTGATGTACTTTAAATTGTGAAAGGGGTAATGTTGTATTTGTGAAACAAAGTTTTTGTATGTTAAATATGCTGAATGTATTTGTTTACTTGTAAAATTTGTAACATTTATCATTATTTTTGATTCTTGGTTCTAACCCATGGTAGGTAATTGTATCATTCAAATTGAAATCTGTGCTAAATGCAATGAGTGCTAAACACAGCACAGATTTCAGTGCTTGAGATGCACAAGAGGAATAAAGCAGTGATTGTTTACAAGGCCCTACACGACATGTCCCCTCCCCACATCTCAGGTCTGTTCACACAGCTAAGGTACACAATACACGCCTTAGATCACAGGGTGGGCTACAACTGCCAAAAGCTCAACTTCAATATAAAAAGAAATCCCTCTCTTGTACTGGTGCCACATTATGGAACTCACTCCCACCTCAATTATAAAGAGCAGATTCTGTTTCTTCCTTTAAGCGCCTTTACAACCAGGATTGTGTTGCCACATCATAACTTGTTATCAAACAGCATTGATATGCAAATTCCTTTGTTATATTCCTTTGTTATTTCCTTGATTTGTTTTTGTATTATTGCCTTTATTACTATGAGTTGTGGCTCTTGGTTTGACAAGTTTGTTTTATTACCACCTTACTGAGTTGCGGCATTATATAGTACTTTTACTTTTATTTTGTACTAAGTTGACTTTAATTTGTACTTATAAGTTGACTTATCATTTTGTTATATCTGTTATTTTCTTGTATATTTTATTTATGTATGCCTGCAGGGCACATTGAAAAACGCCTTAGTGGCGATATGTACACCCTGGGAAAACAAATAAAAACAAACAAACAAACACATGCACAACTCTTGGCTCACAACTACGCCCGATTACTGCTCGACCAAGAGCACTAGCCAACTACCAGACAGCCATGACCGAGCCACTAGTACTAGTCCACAAGAGAATTATTTCAATATTTCAAAACATTCGGCTGGCGCAGCTGAACAGTAGCCGAACTGAAGCAGACCTCATCCGGTAACAATATCCGCGGTGGCCGGGTGGACACCTCTCGCTAATGGATACTGTCTTGTCACTAGAAGTGATCTGCTTGGACATTACTCCTATGTATAATTTAAGGTATTTCATGATCGAACAGGAGAATATATGTGGCCATCTGTGACTGGGGCATAAGATATTTAATACTACGAGGGGACTGAAGTGTTAAATCTTCTGACCTGTCGGTTGTGTACGTAGGAAGATGGAGTCGCCTGAGTTGACTCCCCACGCCTGCCTGCCGCTGAGACCAGCCTCAACCTGCTTCAGTTTTCCTGGAATCTGCCTCCAACCAGTTCCAGCAGGGGTGCTCGGGCTTATTCCTTGGAAAAAAAAAGGATTATATTTTGAACACCCTTGGGTGCAGAAAGGTCTCATTTGATGACTATATATGGATAAAAAATGTAAAAAAAAAAGTCACCAAAATGGCTCGGGGTAGCCAGTTTCGTTGAAAATTGTCGCCATTTGAAACAGGGGACATATTTTACGTTTATTTGAACACTACGTCAACACCGTGATACTTCAAGGGTTTTGGGATTAGGCTATAGCTAACGGGTTTGAATGTAAGCATGTTCTTTGATTTTAATGTATTTTTACAATGCCGTCATACATTTTAAATTGGAGTGTTGCTTTCTTAAAAATATTTTAGCATTAAATAAAGTTAAGATACGCTTGGGCATGGCCATTTAGCGATATGACATAGAAACGGTAACGCGCGTAGCCGACCAGTAAGTAGTGGAACGCTATGAGATCCTGATCTACTAGCGCCATGTTTGGGTCTAGGAGCTCAGTTGTCTCATTTGAATTTAACTTAATTTGAAGACGTGCCAATATTGCTCGGTTTTAAATGATCGTTTCTACTTCATAATGAGGTGGGTATAGATGGATACAGACCTTTCTAAAGGACGCTAGAAGAGTGAATTAGCGCGTTTATTCGCTCATTAATGATGTAGGGCGCTTTGTAACACGAAATCTAAATGACAAAGCAGTGTGCTCACTGACAGGTTATGGAGATACAGCACAATAAGTCATTAAAATTCAGCCCTTCAATACTTGACGCTAGAATTGATTCAGAAGCACCCATAAAAATGTTGTCCATGTCGATTATTTGGTTAGGAGGTGAGTAAATTGCAAGTAAATGGCCAATTAACATTCGGCCTATTCTTGGTGCTAAAATCAATTCACGAACATCGTTAGATTTTGTCCATGTCACTTATTTGGTAAAGAACTACCAAAGACACTGGGTACATGGATATTTTTTTTACAGTCTACTGTCGTGACTCAAAACAAAATGATACAATTGCAAATAATTGGCTAGTAAAAATCATAGCAGTGAGCTTCCTATAATAAGATAATTTTGTGCATGTTTGCAAAAGACAAGAAAGCAGTCGCCATGAAGCCAGGTTTAATAAATTAGCATCGACTCCTTTTGATTCTATGGCCAAACTAAGCATAAAAGGGCCTTAAAAATCTTTAAAAAAAGAAGAACAGCGTGCTTTACATTTTGGCCAGAGAAATACTTCAGGATTGACGGAATTTAACTTTTTATCAACTGGTCGGTTTTATTTAGGTTTTGTATGATATAATAGTAACTTCTTTTTTCCTGACGTCGACATCACACTCAGATTTGCTCATTCGAACGTTTATTATGATCACAGGCCTGTTGCCATATAGCAGGTAATTAACCCTTACTTATCTTGACTTTTGTAAGCCCAAAATTGTAATCAGACGACAAAAGCACAAACCTTCTCGGACAAAGATGTCGTCATTGACGTTTACTCCCCAGACAATATTGTCTCCTGATGAGATCTGCTTGAGTTTCCCCTGGATGTGCTCCCAACCGCTGCCTGGTGACGCCTCGTTTCCAAAGGTTCCGGTGCGGTAGAAAATGTCGTCGTTTGAGTTCACGCCCCAGACGCCGGCGGGACCAACGGACACAAACTTCAGCAAGCCTTCTATTAGCTCCCAACCTGTACCTGGTGTACATACAGGGCCAAGGAAGTTTAGGCTTTACATAGAATTGCTAACAATGGGTAACTGATATGCAATTGCATTGAAGTTCCTATTGTTGAATATCCTAATGAAAGCATTCCTTTGTAATACTATCATTTAATATCAGGGCAGACAAATTTAATATGATACCTTTACGCTAAAAAAGCACAAAAATGTGACAAACTGTTGCCACTTGTGCTACTGTAGTTTTATGACGTCAAATATGCAGAGGGGAACGTAGAACGTCAAAAATCTTGTTTTTAGCGCATGGTTTTTAGGTCGTTCAGGGTCACAGGATAGCTTGAAAATGCTTCCAACAAAAACTTGAAAAAGCTTGAAAATGCTTCCAACAAAAAACCTTTAAAAAACAAAAAATCAAGCAATAACACTGTCATATTTCTAACTACCTACTAAGCAATGCTTTTACCGGCTGGTTGGTCCGTACTGATTCCTGTTCGTCGGAAGATGTTGTCGTTTGAATTGACGCCCCAGAGCTGGTTAGCGGTGGAACTCACGTCCAGCTGCTTCAGCTTTTCTCCGATATGGAGCCAGTCGGTCCCCGTAGGGTTAGTGGATGTCACTCCTGAATGGATACCAAGTTGCTTATAAACTTAATGCTTATTACTTGACAAATACACTGAAGCAATGAATACTAAAAGAAAAGCATAGCTAGTCAAGTATTCGTGTCTTTAACCAGAACCTTTTTTCCACCAGGGCACTTGGCGGTTGTAGTGTGACCATATGGTGACCAGTGATTAACAGATTGTTTTTCCGAAAATACATCTGGCAATAGTTTCATAGTACTGACTTTTGTTTTGCTAGGCATTTGTTTTGCAAAATTAGGAAATTTCGGTTGAAACAATACATTTTAAAAAATTTTATGCACATTACCATCATCTTATGTAATTTTAGAAAAATTATTTCAATAAAAATCAATAATTTATGCTAATCTAATGACGTCATCACGGACCATATCATTAGCTAAGATGTATCATCAAAAGCTTGTAGTAATAACGCCTAATATGTCTATGGAATATCTCATGACATTATTGTTCTTAAGGAATTTTCAAATTCTGACCTTGTCGAATGAAGATGTCGTCATTGGCGTTGACGCCCCAGACGGAGTGTCCTGATGAGATCTGCTTCAGTTTCCCCTCGATCTTCACCCAGCCGCTGCCCGAGGACGCTTTATTTTCCAAGGTTCCCGAACGATAGAAGATGTCGTCATCGCGATTCACTCCCCAGACTCCCCTGGACCCAACAGACACGAACTTCAGCAGACCGTCAACTGACCTCCATTCCGGGTCTGCGAAAAGCAATTACATTGTATAATATATTAGTCGATACAAATAGCAAAATTTATAAGTAATGTGAAGGGCTATCTTTCATCCGTGAGCAGTCGGGAGAAAAACCGTGCAAGACAGACTGCAAGCCTTCTAGTGGTTCTTCCCGGGCTCCAGGGGCGAGGAAAGGCTCGGGGAGTGAGGAGGTGGAAGGTTGATGTGCATTTGGAGGTTTCCCTTGTTTTTTGTTAGTGAATTTTGGAGTTAGAATGGATTTGGAATTGTTGGCACATGTGTATGAGAGTTGTCTGTCGTTGCACGTGCATTGCCTCTCGTCATGCCGAGGTCTGTTCTTCTCGAAGGCGGGGCGTGCTCGGGCAGTATGTATGGCGTACAAGTGTTAGCACGCCTCGGTAAAGGAAGACATCTAATTTTTGGATGTGTTATAGATGTCACAGGTACCGGTCGTGCCGGGAGGGGGACCCGGGGGAGGACCGCCGGGAGCAGTGCAGCAAGTCGCCGGGGCTCAAGGAGGAGGACCGCCGGATGACCATTGGATGGCTAACACTACAACAACGCCGACAACTCTAACGCCTAACACTAATGTATAAAGCAATAAACAACCACATCGCCATACCATTACACTCCATCCTCACTAAAAACAACAACACAAGAGGACATCAACTTCGTTTTCATACATTTTCATGTAAAACAGAGGTCTACAGAAGTAGCTATTTCCCAAGAACAGTAATCGAATAGAACAGCCTGCCAGTTAATCTAGTTAATGAAACAACAACCGATGAGTTCAAAGCTGGGGTGGCCAAGCAATATGGCCATCCCAGCGCCACACATTAACCACATTTAACCCTGGCCGACTATTTTGTATATATCACAGTTTCAATTATTTCCTCTTTTCACATTGGCATACTATATATTTTTGTTTGTTTGTGCACCACCACTGGTCGCGCCAGGGTACTGCCCCCCCCCCTGGACGTTATACTCCTTGAGGGGAGCACGTCGTCAAAACGTACTGCGCCTGCGCAGAACCCTGTATTTTCACGGTTTTCGGTGGATTTTTGCTCAACGTTGCATCAGAAATTCGCCTGTTGCAGGAGATATCTTTTCCGACATAACATTTGGAAACTACAGACGGAGTGTTAACCTTATATGAGCGAATACAACCTTATATGAGATGTTCTGCTAAAGTGCTATGCACAATACATTACGGGTGTTGTGTCCCAAACCGTGCCTTGTCCCAAACCATGTCTGGGCATGGTCTGGGACACTCGGCACAAGTCCCGAACCGTGCCTGGGAACTGAGAACAGTTTGGGACACGCGGATGCCTTGTCCCAAACCGTGCTTGGGACACTCGACGCGTGTCCTAAACCGTGTCTGGGGAAAATCTACATTCCGGGACACGCGGGGGACTATCCAGAGCCGTGCCTGACCGCACACAGTTCTGGACACGTATTATTTAAGATTGCGTGCTATTAGACTGAACACAGTTGTCATAAGATGTGTCCCAAGCGAGTTTCTTTCTTGTATTAACTAGTCTCTGTATATTATTATCTAAGTTCATATCGACCACCCATAAGACTACGTTGTGAGAAAACTGCGCGTTTTGAAAGCACATGTTGTACACAGACTCGCAAAATCTCAAGTAATCTAACCATATAAGAAATCGTGGGCGTGAATAATTATGCTTAGGTTCCCGCCAATCACTATGATTGACAGCACTTCCGGGCACGGTTCTGGACAGTCAGGCTGTTGTGTCGAGTGTTCCAAACCGTTCCTCTGGACTGAGCACAGTTCGAGACACGCGGGGGACTGTCCCGAACCGTGCCTGACCGGGCACAGTTCTGGACACACAAGGGCCTTGTCCCATTCTGTGCTTTGGGGGTGGAGCTTATTGTTTTGAGGGAGGAGACTTCTCGTGGTGTTGTTTACTGTTTTAGGCCGCCATCTTTGTTTTTCGTCGGGGCAAGAATAAGAAAGAATTGGTGTAACTCTTGCTCTGTAAAGTGCATTTTTACATTTAACGCTGGTCTACGACTTACCTGCAGTGTCCAAACAGAGTGTCTTGTATCATTCTGCAACACAGTGCGAACACAGTTCTTGATAACACAGCACGTAGTACACCCAAGAAAGCAGACTGACCCAAGCTCAGTCCAGCAATCCTACAACACTTGCTTATCCACCAACCCCACGCACGGATCTGGATAGTCCTGATGCGTATCCACGACAGACTAGAGCAAATCAACTTGTAGATAAACGAAGTGTTTGTTCAGAACCGTGCCTCAGGTCGAGCACAGTTCTGGACACGCGATGGCCTTGTCCCAAACCATGCCCGGGCACGGTCTGGGACACTCAGCGCGTGTCCCGAACCGTGCCTGGGAACTGAGCACAGTTTGGGACACGCGGATGCCTTGTCCCAAACCGTGCTTGGGACACTCGACGCGTGTCCTAAACCGTGTCTGGGGAAAATCTACATTCCGGGACACGCGGGGGACTATCCAGAGCCGTGCCTGACCGCACACAGTTCTGGACACGTATTATTTAAGATTGCGTGCTATTAGACTGAACACAGTTGTCATAAGGTGTGTCCCAAGCGAGTTTCTTTCTTGTATTAACTAGTCTCTGTATATTATTACTCCGTGAAGGAGGTCAGGACCTCCGGACGGAGTGTTGTAATCGGCTGATTTTTCATGTTCGCAGTCAAAACACTGGGTTCTCTTTGTGTAATCGGCACGCAATTTTATACGCCGTCTGCGGGCATGCCCGTGTTGATGCACGAATGTGTGTTTTTGCCGTTGCTGCTTTCGCGGTCAATGTAATATCGCAGACGCACCCCTACAATTACGAGGCGAATTGGAATGGTCCAGAAAAACGCGTTGTTTGGAATAGCAGTGGGGTTCAAAAAAGTTCATGCAGATACGGGGTGGTTTTTATAAGTGGTTCCAGATGTTTTTGCCCATGGTTAAGAGATGCCAAGTTTTTTGGAAGATGTTCGCAGCCAAAACGCATTCTTCCGTACGTCGCATTTCTGTGTAATTTCGCATGTGGTGTTGCATTATGTCCGGGATGATGCACGTCTTTTTATTTTTACCGTAGCTGTTTTGATATTGGAGTAAATGCTTATTTTCGAAACATCCCCATTTCTTTGAAATGGTTTCGTCCGTTTATGCAACTGTTACTGCGCTAATGACGACCAGTCGCGCTGTCCTGATACACCGCGAATGTGCGAGTGTTCCCTGTAGACAGTCCCGGGAGTCATTTTTTTGCACATTCCAGGAGCCAAACCAAAATACGTTCATGAACCGAGTCCAAAAAACCGAAACGTGAAAATCGGATGATCGGACCTGATGTACATTTCTCTTTCTATAGATTGTACACACAATACACACATCTTTAGATAATCTGGCCATGGCAGGTTAAAAAAAAAGTAACCCTGAATCATACTAGATTAGCGTAAATGTATGTTAATGCGTTCAAAACAAGAAAAAAATTGTTTCCGGGTATTAATCTCTTGAATCACGGCGCTGAATATTGACGCAAAAATATTTCGGGCATCGCGCGCCCTTCCTGCGTCACGTGTAGGCATCTCGCATCTCTGATTGGTTGTTGCGTCTTAAGATGACTGAGCCGACGCGCGTTTAAACAATTTTTCTTTGTTCGATTTATCACACTTCACAGAGAATTGTCGCCAATGGCTACTTCTTTTTGTTGCAATATATAATACTTCACGGAGAATTGTCGCCTATGGCTTCTTGTTATCTAAGTTCATATCGACCAACCATAAGACTACGTTGTGAGAAAACTGTGCGTTTTGAAAGCACATGCTGTACACAGACTCGCAAAATCTCAAGTAATCTAACCATATAAGAAATCGTGGGCGTGAATAATTATGCTTAGGTTCCCGCCAACCACTATGATTGACAGCACTTCCGGGCACGGTTCTGGACAGTCAGGCTGTGTCCCGTTCTGTGCCCGCTCAGGCACGGAATGGGACGGGCACAGTTTGGGACAAACTGACAACTGACAACTTATGTTTGGTCGACATGAACTTAGATAATAATATACAGAGACTAGTTAATACAAGAAAGAAACTCGCTTGGGACAAGTGCACATGTTATGAGAACTGTGTTCAGTCCCCTAGCACGCAATGGGACAAGCTTTAAACAAGAAAGGTGTAAAAAATACACCTAGGCGACGAATTGTACATTATGTAAATTAGGGTATTATCAATTTAATTTATTTTTATTATATATACGAATTGGAATACTTCACTTCATAAGCTACATGTACATATATGTGCCTGGTTATCTACATGTCGGCAATCGACCAATATCGAGTCCCCATTCTTAGCTCGGTGTTTGTTGCTATTGTTTAGATTTAATTCCAATCTTTTATAAATATTTTTAAAGGGATATCTTATGTTTTACAAACATTTCAAACTTGTTCTTAACTTCTTAAGAAATTTCCGTAAATTACAAAACTTTCGAAATATTTTGAGTCCGCGTACGATATTTCCAATGATTTTTAAAGAAAGGCAACTCGGTTCTGCGATTTTTTTAAATTTTTGTAAATGACCCGTGACGAA